AATGCGCCGCCCAGCTAAGTCGCCATGGGGTCCACGCGCTACGGAGGTATTGGAAGCATTCCGCGTTGCGCACTGATATACCTTCCATAATCCGATGATGATGTGCACAATCGTGGGTGTACAACAACGAGGGCAGCATGTTGAACAGAGCCGTCCTTTCCTCCGTGTTACAGAACGGAAGGTGTGAACAACCTCGCTGCATGTCCCGCTTGATGTGCACCCGGCAGAATACGCTGTTGCCAGTGGGATACGCATTGCGAAACGCATTCACTTGCGCAGCACACTTGTCTATCGCCAAGATTCGATCACCGGCAACCCCGGGGGCAAATCCAACATACCTCTCACTGCCTGTTCGTAAGTAGCCTCCGTCTCATTTGGCAGAAGCGCATAAAAGAACCCCATACCAAGGGCGTTAACGTCCACAAACATGTAATGCCATAGGATGTAACTCCCTTAATTGATCTGATATGTGGAGTCCGCCAAAATGAACTCAACGCAGTGGCGCACCAACTCCAGCATACGGGTGGGCACGAAAAACAGATACCGAATCTCATTCCGTCATGCATAAGTTTAAGCTGACCACTTCTTCGCAACAGCTGCGTAACCTCTTCCACTTCCGTGACACAAGCGTTCCGGTGACGCCGCCTTATGTCATACAAATCGCGCCTTGTTAAACCAATGTTATATCGCTGGCTCAAAATGCAAGAATCTCCTGCGTCCGACGTATGGTTTTCATTAAGTTAAGCACCATGCGTTCCTGATCCGCCGGCAGCCTCCGGTTTTTCGCATACAGCCAAGGCTTCCCCACTTGAAAACTGTGCGAATGCCACAGACACGCGTTTCCAATCTCGTAACATTCGCTATTAAACTTCGCTGAAAAGCGAGCAGGGCAAGTGTAACAGTGGTACCTGTAATAATCGTTGCATCACGCAGATGCAATGCACTTACCGCTTTCCCGCAACCTTGCTGCGCTTCCTACGCACGCATGCAAACAGAATATACCGCTACGGGCATCCTTCTGGTAGCACCTGTCCAGTCACCCTCTGCGAGCCTTCGCAGTTATAACGTTCCGACGAATAAATGATGTCGCAGTTTTCATCTGAAACACTTTCAGATCATCATTCATCGATGCGAAGTCCAGATAAGGACCCTTGTGTATATGTCGAAATACAAACGAATCATCAACCATGGCTGCTACGCTTGAAGCGGGAAAATGATTAAACACCGTAACGCATTAAAACAGCTTAGTATATTAATTCCAAATCCGACTCTTAGCATTTCAATTTACACCCTAAATTAATAATAAATATTCACTGGCGTCCGATGGCCCCAGCTTTGCATTCAACCACATCCAACCAGGTGTATCGAAATCACATTGTCGAAGTGTTCCTGCCACTATACAAGGCAGTGGTTAGGCCACAGAGTATTGTGTTCAAGCTTGGTCGTCCTATCTCCGTGGTGATGTTCTTTGCCTGGAGAAGATCCAAAGACTAGCAACCAGGATGGTTGAAGGTCAACGGGGGAAGCCGTATGAAGATCGCCTAAAGAGCCTGGGGTTGTTTTCCCTTGAACGGCGTAGACTGAGGCGATCTGATAGAAACATTTAGGATCATGGAGGGCCTCAGTGCCATCGTGCCCTCTGATTTATTTGAGCTGGCTGATTCTGAACGCTTGCGTGGACATCGCTTGAAGCTCAAACAGCAGAGGGCTAGACTGAACGTCAGGGCTAAGTTCTTCTCGAATCGTGTAGTGCGCAACTGGAATAAGTTGCCTTCGGAACTAATGGATTGTGAGACTGTGGTTGCCTTCAAAGCAGGCATAGACAGGTGCTGGCCGCGTATTTTTCCGGAATTAATATAATCCTATCCAATTTATTCGCATTGATATCCGATGTTGATCGTTGTAAAAGCAAAGATTGCTCTCGCTTTTGCTTCATTTCTTTTTGCAGAGGCAAGGAGAGGCGATCAAAAGTCGAAGTGCCGGGGGCTCTGGTTCGCTTACCGGTACAAGAAGCTGGACTCTCGTTAGGCGGAAGCCTGTATCGTCCACGGATTTTGACCTGACCTGATCGCAAGTGGCGGGTCCGACGTTCTGATTCTCTCGCCTTTCCTGTCCTTGAGTGCTCTCCATGGCTGTGTGCTCTGCTTTGCATCCATTAAGATGTGGCCCGTAGACTGTTTACACACACCTGAGACTCCCGACCGAGACGTTCAAATTATGAGAGGTCTTAAGCCCACCTATCTGTTTTATCCAGCTGCGACATTTAAATTGAGTTGTAGATCATTTTATTGTGAACGGCGTCACAAGAAGTTCAAGCGAAGTAGTATTAGCACCAACGGTAGTAGTAGTATCTTCAGGGAGGTTATTGAATTTATTCGTACTCAGGCTGCCAATAGGTGTCTAATACCGGGTGACTTCAACCTCCCTGAAGTCTGCTGGGCTGGTCTATCTTGCAGTTCGGCGGTGGGTAACTTCGGTTCGAATCTCCTTGAGCTAACATTGCAACTGCCTTTGCATCAGTTCGTGGACCTCCCGACTAGATATATGCGCAACCAAATTCCGTCTACCTTGGATCTCATTTTTGCGAAGTCACACGATTTCGTAAGTGATATTACCTACGACTGTCCTCTAGGAGCCAGTGACCATGTCTGCATATCCTTTCGATGTGCTCTAATAAGTGTCATCAAGCTACCGCTGAGGCATGTCCAAATATTTGGCGGGCAGTCTTTAACGCAATGCGAGCCAAAGCTTCAGTTTTGCGTTGTGCGATCACCGTGGCTGACACCGTTGAGACAGCCTGGGAGAAATTTAAGGCATACCTCACCGAGATCTCTGCTCCCCACATCCCACTCACTAAGAGAAGGGTGACACGGGCGCAGCCTCCATGGATAGATCATACAGGTAAATACCTGCTCAGGAAGCGCTCTAAGTGCTGGCGAACTTACCAAGCGGCTTCATCAACCAGCACCTACGAAAGCTATCGAGCGGTTAGAAATAAATGTAAGCATCATCTTAGAACTCTTCGTCTTCAGTACGAGGAGGATTTGGCTAACGCAACCGTAAAAAATCCAAAGTTCTTTGCTTACGTAAAGGGACGTAGCGGTACAAACTCGTCTATACCGGCTTTACTTCGAGCGGACGGGACCCATGGGCATACCGACCATGATAATGCCTGTATACTTAGCGAACAGTATACTGGTGTCTTTCTCATGAGGCCTCTCTACCTCAAGTTGAGCTGGTCACAAAAGTTCCGGAGGATTCTTGCCTAACTGAAATAAGCATAACGGAGACACAAGTCTTCGGGCTATTGCAAGGGCTAAATCCTTCCAAAGCTTCTGGCCCTGATTCAATTCATCCGAAGCTGATGCATGAATTGGCCGCTGAGCTAAGTGGCCCTCTGACATGCATGTTTACAATATCACTCGACAGCTGTGCCTTACCTTCTGAATGGAAGAAGGCAATCATCTGTCCGATTTTTAAGGGCGGGGACAGAGTTCTGCGCGCGAACTACCGGCCTGTCAGCTTAACAAGTGTAGTAGTTAAGTTGTTTGAAAAATTGGTCAGGGATTCGGTGGAGAATCACCTGATTAAGTTTAACCTTCTCAGTGCGGCCCAGCACGGATTCCGTAAGGGATTTTCATGTCTGACAAATTTGCTTGTAGCTCGTGAAAGCTGGGCTGAGGCAGTAGACAACGGTCACGCCATCGACGTGCTTTTCGTTGACTTCTCGAAAGCCTTTGATACTGTCCCACATCAACGACTCTCATTGAAGTTGAGATCGTATGGGATATCTGGAGCCGCCCTTAAATGGGTTTCTGCTTTCCTAGAGGGCAGAGAACAGTGTGTACGCGTGGGGCCTAGGCTTCCGCTTAGACAAGCTGTTCTTAGTGGCGTTCCGCAGGGCTCGGTTCTAGGGCCGTTGCTTTTCGCAATTTATGTCAATGACCTACCCCAGGAGCTTGGAGTACCGTCGCTATTGTTTGCTGATGACCTCAAGCTCTGGAATATTGTGGATATCCCTGGTGGCTCTGAGGCACTTCAGAGTGCCTTGGATAGGCTCTGGGATTGGTCAACCTTATGGTCGATGCCCATAAATCAGGCGAAATGTTCTGTCCTCCGCATTGGAGGTGCTAGTCCCCCCACGCGCTATGTAGTTGGTGGAAGTGAACTCCCTGTTGTCATTCAGCAGGTTGATCTAGGTATCACCCATACCTCATTGCTTCACTCTGGGGAAAATTGGAGGAAGGCTGCTTGTAGTGGGTTCCGTATGATGTGGTTTATTCGCCGCTCCTTCGGTGTCCTAACGGCCAATATCTTTGTGAAGCTGTTCTCAGCTTTTGTGCGACCTCACTTAGAGTACTGTATCCAGGCTTGTCCACCTTGTCTTGTAAGGGACAAAATGGAACTGGAGAGGGTTTTGCGAGTGGGTACAAGGTTAGTGCAAGGATTACGGGGGCAAACGTATCCCGAACGTTTGCTTAGCTTGGGTATGTACTCAATGCACTACCGCAGAATTAGAGAAGACTTGATTCTCACTTACCGTATCTTAACGGGTAAGATCGGTCCAGACTTGTCCTGGCTATTTAGTCCCGCCAAGCTGCCTAGTCTCCGAGGTCACCCGTTGAAGCTGCACAAACAGCGTTCTGACCGGGTAAGGACGGAAACTCGCTTGTCGCGTCGAGTTATTGAACGTTGGAACTCGCTTCCGGCGCACGTGGTTAGGGAGTCTACGGTAGAGGGTTTCGAGCGTCAGTTAGATGCTCTAGGGTGGCAGTACCAAACCTTCCCCTTCTCCTAACCGACTTGTATCTTCAACTTTCCCTTCGTTCTTTTTTAATTTTCTTCTCACCTTGGTATTATCATTATTTAGCTGACATTCCTCCTCTTCTTTTCTTAGCTTACCCTTCACTCTTTTACTTCACATAAACCGGCCTGGCAAGGACTGCTGGGCAGGAAAATGTGGGCAGTAATTGGTTGGACAGGGTGTGATGCGGTCTTTGTTTTAGGCTTTTCAACATCTCAAGCAGACCTGTCAATTCACGATCCAACGATACGCAAAAGAAGGAACATTCACGGGATTATCCTATCGTTCCGGTCCCAACTGAACTTGAGTTTGAACATCGACTCGACGCACTTGGGTTGCAGTTTCAGATCTTTCCGTTTGGTTCTTAACTTCTACATCTATTTCCTTGGCTTCTCGCATCTATTACTATTATTGTCTTATCCACACATTCTCTCCTGTACTACAATTACCTTTATTTAGTTCTTGTTGATTTCCTTCTCTTCGCCTTTATTCTATTCACGTGGCCGGTACATCGGGGACTGTCAGTGCAGGCCGCGTGGGCGTTGATTGGTTGACCGTTGTGTGATTCGTGTGTATTGATTTGGCTCTTCTCGGTTTCATATCGCTCCCGCGAACTCCATCCTGTTTCAACGGCGCATTGAAGAAGGAACACACATGGGAATTTTCCTACCGTTCCTGTCCAAATTGAACTTGAACTAGAGAGCAGGTGGGAAATCTCTTGTCATCCCCATCGATTCTGTATCATACTGGGTTTGATGCGTGTCGTTGCATTACGACGTTCCTCAAGGGTTCGTCGAAATTGAAGGGACAGCTGCAAGATTCCAGCATTCTCAGCGAATGTTTGTCTTGCAGCCGGGGCCATTGCATGTAATTGAAGCAGCATAGATCTAGGCTAGAGTTAATAGCCAGGTTCCTCGCAAACCGGGTTGTGTCTGTTTATAATAAACATCCTATTTCTCACTTAGCATACGAAACTGGAGGAATTTAACCATTGCCTAGACAAGCATTGGATGACCCTGTTACCCAAATTTCCTTGAACTTCACTGACTGCCCCTAATCTCGTTCTTTCATGATAGCCTGTTCGTCTTGCACTTCTGTTTCTTCACCATTACAGAATCAATATTCTATAAAGTCACTTAATGTCACACAAAACCGGACGCTCGTTAAGCGCAAGCTTGTTTCGTCCCTGGATCTTGTGCTGTCCTGTCTTATTCTGTGTTATAACTGGTACCCCTTACCTACAATTTCACATTATAAGTCCGTTCGATATCTTTCGTCCCTTACTTAACTGTTGTCGTCATCTTCCAAACATGCTTTCCAGTTGTTGTCGTCTTTGTTGGCACCAGATTGCGGTCGAGTGTCTGGTTTTCATGCGATATCGGAGTGGAATCGGTTTTTGGAAAATGGAAACCCTTGACTCTGTTAAAGGTCGTTGGTTATGTGTCGACGTGCGCAGCCTTAGGAACAAAGTGGATGAGGACAGTGTTTGAAAAACACTACGAAAAATTTCGGCCTAATTTTATGTAATCTGAAAACGATTTTGGTCCCGAGATAAAGCCGAACTAAGATGATATCAGTTTTCGACTGGTTAAGCACTCACCTTTCGCTCGAAGGCACTTCAGTGCACTCTTCGTGATGAGTGGTTGCATCTAGCCCTGATTCTTACGAATATCTCCAGAGTACCACCCCTCTAGAAATTTTCTTTGCATGTGGTCCATGCCGTACTGTTTCGAGATGAAGACGTCTCTTGAATCTGCTCCCGCCACTTAGTCGATCTCCTGAAGGGGGTCCTGTCTGGGCATGGTCCCTCGTCATTTTTTCTCTCATGCCTTGAGGCCGGTTCAGCAACTCCTGCAGGTGTCGAGAGTAGATCTACTGCTGTTTTAAAATAAAGAAAGTCTGCGCGTAGAGCGAATGGATAAACCGATCTCTGTTTACCGATTTAATGATCTAGGTTCCACAACCGAAGAGCAGGTCGTGCGTACGGCTGCTTTGCACACTACCTTTCAGGTAGAGAGTGATGTCGCGCCGACGCCATAGGTAGCGAAGGTCAGAGGAAGCGCCTCAAGCTTTTGCTATACGGTTCGTGCCTTCGGCTTCCATTACACAGGCGCTGATGCAACTGCGTAGGTAGTTGAATTTCTGTACGACTTCCAGCTGATCCCTACCAAAGGTCCGCGCAAGGATGGGGCTCTGCCCATCTTGAAGCAAAGCTTTGCACTTCGACAATGAAAAGCGAAACTGGAAACCGCTGATACCCAGTACTGATCTGTCTGGTGCTGCTTGACACGTTTGTGAGCTATTAGCTGAGATCAATATCATCAGGATACTCCAAATCAAGGAGTCGTTCACCTGGCAGCAGCACCTCACCTATATCCTATCCAGTGGACGCGTTTTCCATGACTTCGTCAAAAGCGGAGTTGAAGAGGAAAAGTAGCAGCAAGCATCCCTGTCTTACACCGCTGGAGATATTGACGAGCGGCGACAGCTTGCTTTAAACCCACTGCCAAAGCCAAGCGTATAAAGTGCCCGAATGATATTTACATCTTTCTCGGGCACACTACCTTAGCAATCAGTCCCAAATGGCACATCGATCAAGCGAATCGAAGGCACTGTTGATGTCGGGAAACACGACTACGGTTGGCCGCCACTACATGTGACGTTGCTCCAATTGTTGGAGCAAGGAAACTAGATCTTACCGTAGTGCGATGGTTTGCATGCCTCAGCGATCCATTGAGCTATACTGGGTGGTGCTTTTTTGCACCTTCAGAGCCGCTCATACCAGATTGGTCAATGGTTAGAAACCAGAAACAGTCTCCAGGTTGGAATGAGGGTGGTTCATTCCATAAAACAGACTTTGTAGTCCACCGCCAAGCCCGCTGCCTTGCGGTCAGGTTTTTTAACCAAAGAGCGTGGATAATCAGGGCAGAGGATAATCAACGGTGCCCTTTCTGCTGCATCGAGCAGGGTGGACGGGTTTGGATGCTACTGCTCAAGTCCTTCCGTCTTGTTCCCCTTACGCTTTTTCACCCCGTTCAGCCTCTTATTCCCCGTTTTAACCCCCCAATCCTTGGCCCTCCTCTTGCTTTGATATACGTTTACCTTCTAGTTTCAATTCACATGCTGACGCGGAGCGTCGCTTTTGCCCCATTGACGAGCCTATGTGTAACGAAGCGGTCAAGCCTAGTTCATCGGCTTCTGTCTGGAGACCTCGATCCTTCCTCAGATTGGCATGCCTCAATGTTCACTCATTGTTACAGATCGGTCAACAGGCAACACTTGCCCTAACATTAGTGACCCCCTCGATCGATAATTGCTGCCTATTGGAAACCCACCTACAAGACCGTTGCTCTGTTCTCACTGTGCGATTCCCTTGGGGATCATGCGCCTTACAGAGGCGCATAGACAGATGGGCTGAGTATTTCCCATTTTAGTTGTTCTTACACGTCATTCGCTTTCGTACTTAGCTCGCGCCGCAGTGCGTCATGGGCCGTGCCATTCGAACCACTCACTAAAGCCGAAGTTCGCCTTGAGATTATACACTTGAAGCGCTTTAAGGCTGCTGGTTCAAACGCGCTTCCTTCGGAACTGTTCAAATATGTTTGTACGCAAATTTTCACCTAGCCAACATCCCTTTTTATGAAGATCTGGAGTAAAGAAAGAGTCCACATTTCATGAGGAGAGTCAGTTATTGTCCCAGTCTTCAAGAAAGGCTTTCGGACTTCATGTGCCCTTCATAGAGGAATCAGCCTGGTACCACTTGCCTCCAAGCTGCTGGTATCCATCACGTTGCGCAAACTGTCGCCAACTCGCGAGGCGCACTGTCGGGAGGAGCAGGCTGGTTTCCGTCCCGGTAGAGGTTGCGTGGCTCATAATTCCACGCTTCGTCAGTTCCTTGAACATCGCCGCATATACCGCAGACCCACCATCATCGTCTTCCTAGACATTCGAGCTGCATTCGACTCTGTAGACCGACCTGCTTTCTGGCAATGCCTACTGAAGTACGGAGTCCTTGAAAAGTACGTCGCTATTCTTCGGACGTTATACCTCCACACCTCAGGTAGAGTAAGAGCCTACGGCAAGCTCACCGCAGTCTTTCCTGTCACCAGTGGTGTGCGACAAGAATGCGCTGTCTCCATTTCTTTTCAACTTCGCGATCGAAGATGTCCTGTTGGAAGCTCTGGAGGGCACTCAGAATTCTGGTACTCGTGCATCCGACTTAGATTACGCTGATGATATCGCCTTACTCGGTGACGACGCTCACAGGATGCAACTGATCCTTGACCGATTGGTGATTGAAGCGTCCAAGTATGGTAGGTGCTTTGCACCCTCAAAGTGCAAAGTGCTGACACAGCATTGGCAAACTGCTCTTCCTCAGCTCGCCATCGAAAACATTTGGCTTGAGCAGGTGGATAGTTTTGTCTACATTAAGAGTAATATCTCTACCAACGGAACCATTGGAGAAGTGGTGTCTCTCCACATCGCTAAGGCTCGCTCGGCTTTTACTGATTTCAAACACCTGTGGAATCGTCGTGACATCTCGCTCTTGCTAAAAGGTAGGATTCCCAATGCTTGTGTTCGCTCGATACTTTTGTATGGATGTGAAGCTTGGCCCATTCGAGTGGACGACTTGCGTGGGCTTTCGGCCTTCGACAACGGCTGTCTGCAGAGGATCGCCCGTGTATGGTGGTAACATCGGGTGCGCAATGATGATATCAGACAACGCGTCTTTGGCAAAACGAGCCTCCCGCTCCATGAGCTTCTGTTGTTGAGATGGCTTGGCCTTGTCCTGCGCATGCCTGACGAACGGTTGCCACGCCCTGCTCTATTTGTGCGTACAGGGCCGCATTGGAAGAGCGCGCGTGGTGGCCAGCCGATCACTTGGCGTCAAAGCATCACATCGCTCCCATCCTGTCTATCAATTGCTAGTCCGGTACGCTTTTCCGGTTGGAGACCGAAAGATGAAGAATGCCGATGGCTTACCACACTCGGAACAATGGCACAAAACCGGTTGCAATAAAAACAACGCACGCATGTCTGCGTGAATTCCCGATTCCAAAAGTAAAACTCAATGAAAAGAAAATTATTATAAAAGCGGCGTGTGGAAAAAGACAAAAAGGAATTCTTATTGATTCTTCATTACCTTTCGCTATCTTTGTACCTATTCTTGTTCCTATTTAAATCTCTATGGATTTCATTGGCTGTGTCTATCTTAAGAACGGCTGCTAACATGGTTGGCGGCGTCCGGTTTCGGATTTGCCTGTCACTTTGGCAAGCCACAGGACGCCTGCGCCTACAGAGGGACCATGGGTGGCTTGCGCTGCACCACCCATAGCTCCAACCACACACCCCATATCCAGTGTAAACCCGAAGGAATAAGACCGGGAGACATGTGGATGGGAGCCACGTTTCATCAACGGAGCCGGCCCACATTCCTTCACAGGCAAATACAAGCACACTGTATTTGGGAATCAAGCGCACACAAGGCGGTGGTTGGACCGTGTTCCGCTCCACACTGAGTGCATGGAACCGCTCTTCGAGCCTAGCACGGCCACAAGGACCGTGCACCCCGTCCTCTCCTGCAATGACCAACTGTCTCCTGGAGCCAGTATGAACGAGATAGTGGGTAATAGACAGGTAGACACCTTGTCAAAATACATATCAGGCGCAGCCACAACGGGGATATCAAGCAACAGCCAATCACTT